AAAGGAGACATTTAACTGAGGTGGCAGCTTACAGTTCAGAGGTTCAGTCCCTTATCTTCATAGCAGGGAGCATGGCAGCGTGCAGACAGACGTGGTGCTGGTTACATCTTAGTCAGAAGTCAACAGGAAGTGGACTGAGGCACTAGGCCGTTATGTAAAGATATGTTACTATGATTGATTTAATAAACATCAAGTGATCACAATAGCTAGGCAGGATTGTTGGGGCAGAGAGAATGTTGGGAAGAAGGGATCACCAGAGACAGAGAGGGAGCAAGACATGCAGGAGGACCGGTAAATGCCATGAGTCATGTGGCAATATGTTGATGAATAGAAATGGGTTAATTTAAGTTTATAAGAGCTGGTGGGACAAGCCTAAGCTATCAGACAAGCTTTTGTAATTAGTAGTAAGTCTCCATGTTATGATTTGGGAGCTGGCAGGTGGGACAGAGAAGGATTCACTACACCGGGCATGGCTCCAGCCTATATGAGACCTCAGAGCCCACCCCACAGAGGCATACTTCCTCCAGCAAGGCCACACCTCATGTATTGGCTAATGGCTTTCTCTGATGTGAGACTCTCCACACACCTGGCTTAAGACCTGTGCCACCTCGTGTTGGAGACCTGAATCCTTTTGGCTCTGCCGGATCACTCAAAGAAACCCAAAAAACCTCCACCTGTCCTGCTCCAGGAGCAGGAGTGCTTGCCTGTTTTGTTGTGCCTGCTCTTGGTCAGGATTAGTCCCCGGTGGAGGGAGGGAGGGTCAGCCCTCTCATCCAGAGACCCCTGCCATCTAAGCAAGTGCAGACAGGGCCAGGACCTAGTCCCCCAGGTGAGCATTCCCTCTGCTCCACTCCATGCCCTCTCTAAGCAGCTCCAGGGAAGGGAAGCCCGAAGGAAAAGAAATTCCACTCCTTTCTCTTTCATGATTTGTGTCTTTTTTTAAATCAATGATCCATATAATTAAAAAACTCAAAAACCATCATTCTCCAAAAAAAATAATAAAGTAGAAAAAACCACCTTTGGGCAGGGACAGGAAATCATTGCCAGACCATGGAGCAGGAACAGAGAAGATTCTTCTGTCCAAGACTGACCAAGGAGACTTGAAACAATATTTGCTCAATTTCCTTTGTTGTCCAGTCAGCCCCAGATATTAGGGAAAAAGTTAGAAAATTTTAAAGGTATAAATAGGTCCTGGTTGCTGGGAATAGTTTCGTGGGTGTTTAACCACAGAGAACCAATTGGGATGAGACCTTTTGTCCCGCGCTACCGTCTCGCCAGCAAGAACGACGCAGAACACTCGGATCCTTCTTAGAGGGAGACCCCAAGCTAAGAAACCCAGCCCCTTATATAAGCCTAGGAGCTCCGAGTGAGACGTGTAGAGCCGGGATTGGTGGTTTGCTCATCACCCCAGATGACGCCACGGGAGAGGCACAGCTTAAACGGTTAACTCCAACTGACAGCAGATGTCAGCGCCATCTTCTAACGGTAATAGCGATAGCGAGGGCGGCTCCTCACAACCTTTTGCATAAACTGAAAGTCACTGTCACTTTCTCTGATGGTGAGATGCAGCAAAATTTTGGTGTCTTGCCCTCTGTCAGAAGAAACCAACCCCCCAGGACTAGCCCAACATCAACTTCCTATAATCGTTGAACTAACAAGTTCAGCCATCCCCACCCAGGTTAAAGAAGACCGTGAAAACACAAGAGGGAATTGCAGTCCATAAAACCTGGCTTGGAGAGAAGGGCATCCTGGTGTCGTGGCAGTCACTCTGGGATATACCTCTCCTGCCTGTGAAGAAACCTAGGACCTCTGATTCTCATGTATCTGATTCTTCTAGAGAAACAGGTGTACACTGTCCTGGACCTGAAAGATGCATTCTTCAGCCTCCCATTGGCAGAGGTGGGTCAGCCCATCTTTGCTTTTAAATGGACAGATCCAAATGAAGGTTACAGCAGGCAACTGATATGGACCAGGTTGCAACAGGTTTTAAAAATAATATCTTTAAACTTAAGTAATGCAGACTTCCTACCCTTCCATCAGAGGTTTCCTGGGAAAATGTATTATAAAAGGGCCACTGAGGGACTGTGCAGGAGTGACAGACCTTGGGCTGCAGAATGTCATCTAAGAAAGCCCGGCTTTGTACACCAGAGCCTACCTGTCTTGGCTCCCAGCTGAGGGGAGGCAAAAGGAGCCTATCTCAGAGCAGGACTGCTGACATCCTTCAGATGCCAACTCCAAAGACAAAGAGACAGGTTTGAGAGTTCCTAGGTGCAGCTAGGCATTGCTGCTTCTGGATTCCAGAGTTTATGGAAATAACAAGGCCTCTATTTACCAGCATGAAGTAGGGAAGGCACTAAGCCCCTAATCTGGACTGAGACTAAACAAAAGGCATTTGAGGCTTTAAAAACACCTCTGAACTCAGCCCTAAAACTTCCAGATGTCCCAAAATGTTTTCATCTGTTTGTCCATGAAACAAACAAACAAAAAAAAACCAAAAGGGGCTTAACCCAACTTTGGGGCCATGGAAATGTCCTGAGACAGATGTCTCCAAACAACTGGGCCTCAAAACCACAGGATGGCTCACCTATCTAAGATCTGTGGTGGCTACTGCTAGTTTACATGGGGGGAAAAGCCCAACACATTAACTCTGGGTCAAGATCTTATACTAACAGTACCCCATACCATTGAGGCCCTCCTCTCAGGAACACTGAATTATGGCTGTCTAACGTCTGTGTGACTCGGTACCAGGCTCTGTTCTTGGAGTACCCTCAAGTGCAGTTTGAGAAACCCATTGTCATCAGTCCTCCTGCCTTCTTGCCTAGTGATGACACACAGGGGCTCATCCATGATTGTCATGAGACAAAAGATGAAACCAGGTACATGGGAGCTGTAGCAGTTACTTTAGCCAAAATGATTTGGGTCCAGGCCAGATACCTCAGCCCAAAGAGCAGAACTGATTGATCTGACCCATGTCCTCAGTTGGGGAAAAGGAAAGTCCACCACCACATGCGCAGAGAGTTTCTGTGCTTTTACTATCGAGTTGGAGGAGGGACCGACAGGGAGGACAACGAAAGAGATATCTTAATAGAGGGAACCATTATGGGCTAGGGAGAAACCACCTCCACCACCTCCACTACCAGCAACAAAACCAACTTCCCTAATTCCTTAATTAATCTTCCCCCAACACCATCTCTCCTTCCTTCCTTCCATCTCTGGATTTCTGCTCCACAGTCCCTTCCTTGTGGGTTTCACTTATGCAGTGAGGTGCCCTATAGAGCATTTACAGATATTTTAAGAAATTTAGGGGCTGGAGAGATGAGTCAGTGATTAAGAGCTCTGAGTGCTCTTCCAGAGGACCTGGGTTTGAGTCGCAGCACCTACACGGTGACTCACAACTATCTGTAACTCCAACCCTCTTTTGGTCCCCATGGGTACTTGCAGTCACCTGTACAAACCCATACACAGACAGACAGATAGACAGACAGACAGAAACACATACACACTCTTTAACGATAATAAAATATTTTAAAAATGTAAAATGTAAAAAAGAATAGGGTGGACTATTGGCTATACTGTGCTAGGTTCTAAATGGAATGTCTACATCGTCCCTTCAAGGCTCAGGAAACACTGAAAAAGAGGAGACAATAAGAGTGTAAGAAGCCGGGCGTTGGTGGCACACATCTTTATTCCCAGCACTCAGCAGGCAGAAGCAGGCAGATCTCTGTGAGTTCAAGGCCAGCCTGGTCTACAGAGCAAGTTTCAGAACAGGCTCTAAAGCTACAGAGAAACCCTGTCTTGAAAAACAAAAGCAAACAAAGAGTGTCAGAGCCACAGAGAAGCCAGGTGACTGCTGCTGGACAGTGTCCTCTGGACATGACAAGGCCACTATACTCACGAAGCCACTGCTTTGAACCTGCTGCTGTGGTTACCTGCACAAGACCTGCCAGCACTGGTTAAGATTAAGCCTGCAGGTAGATCACCCCAGATGGGGACAGGCTGGCCCCAGCCTTGATGGGAGCTGCGGGCAGTAAAGGGTTCCTGGGGAGGAGGAGCCATTTCCTTTACTGATAAGTGCTCCAATAAATAACCCACCCTTTAAGTAACGACACCAAAATGTGTGGGGGAGCCAGGCTGTTTAGTAGGAGTGGATAATGTGGGAGGCATGTGTCAAAGGGCCAAGTTTAGATAAAATAAATTCGAAAAAGAGTGTTGGGAAGAAAGAACAAAGTCCGTTGTGCAGATACTCTTTCTCCATTCATCTGTGGTTGGACACCCAGGCTAATTCAATGACACAGTTCTGAAACAAATGGGAACTCATGGATTGAAAAATAACAAGTCAGTTCGAGACAGAGGAAAACAGCTGGCACCGACCTCTGGTCTCTGCCTCTGCCAAGGTACACTCACAAATGACAAAGACATACATGCAGGCAAAACACCCATACGCATAAAATAATTTAAAGAAGGAAAACAGCATCTTTAGAGGGGAATCCAGTTAGAATTCAATTCTGAAAGGCCCAGGTCAGGAGCCCACATACACACCCCTGACCTCCAGGCTGGCCAGTCTTCCCTGGCCTGGGCTCTTCTACACCACCCCACCCCACCCCGCCCCACCCCACACCCCATCCCCACCCCTCACCCCAAATCTCAGTTCCCACTGAACCCTCAGGCCACTTCTCTGTCCCCCAGCCTCTTTCCTCTGCCCTTCCCTGCTCAAGATGTCCTAGGGCCCCACCCTCTCAGCTCAGTCCTCCCTGGAGTGGGGATTAGAATCCAGCTCCACATACACCTTGAGTCATTGTCCCCTGGGCTGGTTGAAGTGGGGGGGAGTGGGGCTGGGTCTTCATGGGCTATGAAGCTCAATTAAGTGTCATTAGCGGAAGAGAGTTTCTGCGGGATTAGAGCCGTGCCCTGCCCGGCTTCCTCATCCACTGAAACCCCACCACCAGGCGGAAATCGGATGAGCTGAGACAAAGGGATCAGGTGGGGCGTCATGTGTGACATCTGCACAGTTGACTTTCAGGTGGCCGGCAGAGGAAAGGCAGGCGAGGTGGACAGCGAGATAGCAGAGACAGACAGACAGACAGACGGAACGGGTGACACACGCATTGTCACTTCACGACAGGTGAGAAGGGGTCAGATGGAGGCAGTGAGCCTGGGGGATGGGGCAGAGAGGAGAGAGCAGAGGTGAGCTGAGAAGGGTGAGCTCGGATACCCCGCCTTTCCTGGCAGACCCTGGAGATAGCCCATCATGAGGCCCAGCATCCTCTTGCTCCTGTGTGTTGTGGGTGAGTTTTCTGAGCCATGACATGGTGAGAAGTGGTGGTGACAGCCCTGCGATTGTGTCCTTCCCTTCTCCCAAAAAAAACCACCTGGTGCTGAGGAAAATGGGAGAGGTGGACCCTGCTTAGCTGATCCCTGTGTTGTTGGGTCTGTGGCACCATCCGGCTCCTTCTTCTTGTTTGTTTTGTTTTGCTTTTCTGAAACTTGTGACACACCCCCTCAGCCTCCAGGGCACTGGGACGACAAGCATGTGCCGCCCATCACACACTCAGCTGTTGTCTCTTTTCCTGACGTTCCTGCACCCACCTCCTCCCATCCACAGTCTTCATGTCCAACCCCATTTCTCTGGCCTACACCGGACCTCAGGTCTCAGTCAGGCTGACAGGGAGAAGATCTTTGATGGTGCTGAGTGTGTGAAGAACTCACAGCCTTGGCAGGTGGGGCTGTTCCGTGGCAAATACCTGCGCTGTGGTGGTGTCCTTGTGGACCGCAGGTGGATCCTCACAGCTGCTCACTGCAGTGGCAAGTAAGGCCCGGGGGCCTCCTCAGGGTGAGCAGAGGAGGGTCTCCCCCATGGTGTCTGGTGTCAAGGGCTAGGAGGCAGCCAACCTCGCATCAGAGGTGCAGGACTTCCTGAAGTGGGCTGGGTGCTGCCGGGTGGGATGAGGGTGCAGTGTGGGGAGGACCTGGGATGGTGCCTCTGCTCCGCTCCCGTTTCCTCGTGTGCCGTTTCCTTTCCTATACAGCGTTTACCACCAGCCCCAGGCACTCCCTGACCCCAGCTAGACTCGGTGCCACTGAACTTGAGTCACAGCCTGTACCCCAAGAAGCCAGGTTCAGTCACCCTACCTTGAGAAGCCAATTAAAACAGACAAATTAATAATAGAAAGGAGATTTACTCACGGTGGCCCCATGGGGAGAGGACAGACAGCCGTGGCCCCTCTAGCCCCTGTCAGGCCCCTGAAGGGAGACTGAAGGGTAAACAGAAGCTAACATGGTATCTAAGCCGTCTGAGACATGGTGCCGCCCCGTCTCGCCTGGGCTTCAGGCTCCACGGTCAGGTGGTCTGACAAGCTCTGAGAATCACGTGCACTCCCCCGGGAGGCAAGTTACCCTCTGGCTGGCATCCTTTTCCTTCTCCCAGCATGGGATTCCCACTCCTTTGGGTCCATTGTTCAATGATCTGACAGACACTAGTGTCTCCGGCATATCTTCATTTTGCCTGTTGGTGGTGTGTGCCTTCCAGCAAACAGAAACACTAACCAGGACACCCATGAGCCCCCTCCTCAGACCCCCCACTCTCTAGGTCTGGACTTTGTTATGAACGGGGAGCCTGGTATCAAGAGGCTCCACGCAGGACAGAGGTGTGCTCCTTTGCCCAATCAGCAGCCCTGGTGACATTGCTGGTGGGGGCTGTGGGGACGAAAGGGCAGCTGGTACAGCAGAAGACATCCCTGCCCCGTGACCCCTGCTACCGAAGAGCAGGAGAGAGAGATGCAGACAGAGGTAAGGGCAGCCGTCTGCCACCAATTGACCAGCTGCACCCTCAGGTACGCAGTGCGCCTTGGGGAGCATAGCCTCACCAAGCTGGACTGGACAGAACAGTTGAGGTTCACCACCTTCTCCATGACACACCCCGGCTACCGGGGTGCCCGTCAGAACCACGAGCACGATCTCCGACTCCTGCGGCTGAGCAGTCCGGTCTACCTGACCCACGCTGTCCGGCCCCTGGCCCTGCCCGCTTCCTGTGCTCCTACGGGGACCAAGTGTCATATTTCAGGATGGGGTATCACCAACAAGCCTTGGGGTAAGAGGGTCCTGAGGTTGCGAATGAGGGCTGGAGGGTAGGAGGTCAAGTTGTTCTCTTCAGTGGGAGCATGAGTATGGGGTTAAACATTGGGGTCAACATTAGAGCCACAGAGGTTAAGGGATTGAATATGGATCAGAGGGTTAGAGTTGTGATCAGAGGTCAGAATAATGCCAGGGGTCATCAGGACATCTGATCCATGGGCTCAGGTGTTAGAGGTCATTACAGAGCTGGTATCTGCTGGGCTCTAATCCAGGTGCTGTGTAGACCGCAGTAAGAGGGTAAAGAGTCAAGGCCGTCTTCCACTACAGAGTAAGAGCCTGTCTCAAAGCAAAAAGCAAAAGTGTCTGCACATGTGGCTCGGTGGTGGGGTCCCTAGGTCCTAGGTTCTGTCTCCACTACTCTACTCTATTGGGAGAGAAGCTGAGGGCACTGAATCAGTCCGGTCAGAATCTTTCTCCTGTCACATTTGGAAGTCACAGGGTTTGGGCCAGGGTTTCTGTGGCATGGAATCTGTGGTCAATGACCCGAAATCAGAAGACTTTTTTTTTTTTTTGAGTTGAGATGAAGTAAGTGAAAGTCTGGAAGATGTGGAATTGGGGTCTGAGGTTAACGTGAAACCAAGGGCATGAGTTCAGGAGAAGGAAGACATGAAGTGAGGCTGAGGTCAAAGTTCAAGAGACCAGGTCTATGACCTGGGGACAAGAGTCACTATGGAAGTGAGTCATGAAACTAAGAGTGTTTAGGATGGCAGTGAGTTTGCATGGAGGGGTGTAGATTTGGGTCAAATGTCCTTGGGAAGAATGTAGCCTCAAAGCAGGAATCTCAGAGGGTCGACACCACTCATCATCTGAGTCACCTACACCACCCATCTTCCATCCCCAGACCCATTTCCAGACCGGCTCCAATGCCTCAACCTCTCCATCGTCTCCAATAACACATGCCAAGCCGTGTTCCCTGGGAGAGTAACCGAGAATATGGTGTGTGCTGGTGGTGAAGCCGGGAAGGATGCCTGCCAGGTGAATCAACTCAGGGAGATGATGACCGCCGGGGACAGAAAGCAGGCAACGGAGAAAGCAAGATGGGGCACTGAGGTAGACTGGGTGCAGAGTTTATTAATGCCATGACAGACAGAGGCAACAACATGGCGGCACTCTGAGGAATGTTCGGACCCCAGCACCAGAGACAGAGAGCATGATGGGATTCTGAAGAGGAGTCAGAGTCCACATGGCAAAAGAAGAGGGTTTCTTTCTATACTTTTCTGAGAGTGGGGAAGGTTAACAGCAAGCCCCTGCATCCAGGCTCTCTGGTTCCCAAACCGGAGGCAGGGAAGGGAAAGACAAAAGCGTGTAGGGCCACCAATACTAACTTGGACATAAACTCCCTTCCCAGGTGAGGGATCCTGGCACCTGGAAGTCCGTTAGCTAGGGGCTGGAAGGCAGTATCCTTGTAGAATGCCTGTTGGTATCTGTGAGGGAAAGAGGAGGCTGGCTGACCTCACACTACAGCAGTGAGGAAAAGACCCAAACCCGGGAGGCGGAGCTGAAAGAATTGGATGGGAGAGATGGGTCTAGAGAGGAGGGAGGCTCAGCCTAAGGGAGGAAGAGGGGGAAGGGAGGAGCCCAGCGTGGAGGGAGGACCAGGAGAGGACAGGAGGCTGAGAAGGGGGAGGGGAAACAGGCAAGACGTGGAAGGTGTAGAACTAGGCAGGACGGGATGTGTCAGGGCCTCTTCGGGGTACTCCATAGCTTCCCCACACCATCAACCAGCTGGGCAATCAGCTGACTGTGTCAACCTGTGATTCTGTGTCCTTAGTCTCTTGGGCAGCTTAGAGGAGACCCAGCAATCCCCTCAGAGCAGTCTCCTCTCCGCAGGTGGGCAGACAAGATGGCATTCTCTTCACTCACTGGCCAGAACCAGTCAAGTGGCATCTTCCTTCCTATGGGCTAGCTGTTGGGATACTCTTCCAGAGAGCTGGCCGCTCCCTTCTCCCTGGACCTGGCTTGGGGCCACTAGTTTAAGTAGATGTTTCGCTTCTGTCTTCTAGGGTGACTCTGGAGGCCCCCTAGTGTGTGGAGGGGTTCTTCAAGGTCTGGTTTCTTGGGGATCTGTTGGGCCTTGCGGACAAAAGGGCATTCCAGGGGTCTATACGAAGATCTGCAAATATGTGCCCTGGATCAGAGCAGTCATCAGGAACAACTAATTGGCTTCCCCTGCCTCCATGTGGTTCTGCTTAGGGGCCTCTCTGACCCTCGGAGCACAACGTCTCCTCCCTCACCACTCCAAGCTCCCACCCTTGTTGGTGTAGAGAACCTTCTCAAACTTCGACGGTGGAGAGAGGGCTGGGAAGCCCTGGAATAAACATTATACAATCAAGGGAAGGGGCTGCACCTGACTATTTAATGTACAGTTGAAGCCTGGAGGAAACCGGAAAGGGTGGGGGGTTTTGCTGGGCTTGGTTGCATAGGTCTGTGACCTTGGACTCAGGAGAAAGGTGGGAGGGTTAGGAGTTCCTGAGGTCGTTCTGGACTTCATGAGACCCTGTCTCAAAAGCAAACAGGCCGGGTGCTGAGGTTGAGTACCTGCACTTGGCAGGCTGATCTGAGTTTGAGGCCAGACTGCTCTACAGACTGAGCTCTAGGCCAGCCAGAGTGGCATAGTGAGAATCTGTTTCAAAATCAAAGATTTTGGACTTAATTTTAAAATCATTATCTTTATCTTACGGGTGTGGGTGTTTTCCTGCATGCGTGTCTATGCACATGTGTGCCTGGTGCCCACTGAAGCCAGAAGAGGACACTGGGTTCCCCTGGGACTGAAGGTGCACACAGATGTGACGCGCATGTGAGTGCTGGAAACCGAGCCCAGACCCTCCAGGAGGAGCAGCCAGTGCTCTCAGCCACTGAAGCGTTTCTCTGGCCCTGCTTCTGGCTTCCTATGTGCCGTATATAAACAGCTGGAGTGGGGGTTGTGTGTTACTCCTGCCTGCCCCACAGCCTTCGGATGTTCCGTCTGGGATGGGGTGCCGGTGTACTTTACTCTGTCAGAGCTGTTCCAGGGTGACTCTGGGGACAAAACAACCCAGCTGAAGTAACACAAGACTATGTGCACCCAGAGGTCCTGTCTCCACATTCTCTTCAGAAGACAGAAAAGAAGGTTTCACTCAAAAATGCCTAAGAGGGGACCCGGTGTGCTGACCAAAGACACAAGGATGGCTTTCCCAGCATCTTCCGGGCATTTCATCCCCCACTCCACCCCAAGGCAGGGCCAGCACCCCCATGTCACGGATCAGGGAACTGAACTTCCCTGGGGTGGAGTCTCCCGCCTCACGTCACCTGGGTAGGAAGAGGCAGAGCCCGTAGGGTTTGAGGCCACGGTTGGCTGCCGGCAGAGCCTGGGCCTACTCCGCCTTGTCCCACATCTGGTTAGGGAAGAGAGGAGAGGAAGGCCCGGGGAAGAAAGATCTGAATGAAAACATAAACTGAGAGAAGCAAGGCTTTGAACCTGAGGCTATCCGATGAGGAGGCCCGGGAGGCTGAAGAGTGACTGGAAATTATCTACAGTACCCAGTAAGTGCTGGAAGCCTGGGCAGTGGAGGCTCGGGAGAGGAGGGAAGGGTCAGCAGAGAATGGAGGCCCACACAGAGCCCCGGGGCCCCTGGCACACCTGCCGAGGTTTCTTTCTCCTTTCTTGAGCCATGGCTGTCACAGGCCCTGACCTGCCTCCCCCACCGTCCTGTCCTGCCCCTGCACCTAGCAGGCAGCCCCACCTCTGTGACGCCCCAGATTCCCCCCTTCTCTCTTTGGAAAGGAGAAGGGAGGGCCCAGAGGCAGCCAAAGGCCCCACTGGGTCCAGGCAGTGAGGGAGGAGAGACCCACAGAAGGAGGGAGAGATGGAGGCCTTACAGAGGTGACAGAGACGGCAGAGGGAGGCCCAGAGGGATGGCACGGGGACAGAGCTGATTCAGGAGGAGACAAAGATCCAAAGACATGCAGGGGCGGAAACCTAGTGGTGGAGAGACCAAAATCACACACAAATTCTATAGGATGGGCGAGGGGAAGGTGAGACGAACTGGGACACCGAGACCTGTGAGAAGAAAAGGAGATGTGGCCACAGGGGAGAGGGGGGCTTGAGCGGCGATACCCTGTCTGGGACCCCAAGGTTGCCTTGGAAGGGCTCGCACACCCCTCCACCAGGGTGATAAGGCAGGGCAAGGAGCCCAGTCATTCCAGGCCTGCCTGGGGCTAACCCCCTGCCTGCCTGCCTGCCTGCTGCTACTGCCACGGCAGGGCCCTTCAGACCTAGCCCCAGAGGCCATGAGTGAGTCCAGGAGAGAAGGGAAGGTTCCCACCAACCCCCACCCATTCCAGGAGACTGTCATCCCAGAAGCTAGGCCTCCTCTGTCCCAGCATGCATTTCCCCTCCCATCTTTCCTTGGAGGGTGAGAGGGGACTTGAGACCACACTCTGTATCTCTCACCTTCAAACTCCTGCCCCCAAACCCCATGACCTCTGTCCCCAGTTGAGATGGCTAAGTCCTGCCCTCTCTCCCACCCCCGCCAGCCAGGGCAGCTTAGGCACTGGCTGTCCCTTAGCCGGCTCCACCCAACCCTGTCCAGCTGTCCTTCACGGGGGTGCAGCAAGGTGGAGGGAGGGACTTCACCGGTGGCAGAAAGACCTCACCAGCTCCTATCACTGATGTTGGGACAACAAAAATGAGGTCCTTCCCCAGTAGGTGACCCTTTCACCTTGTCCTGCCATCGCGAGGAGTTGAGGGGCAAGCCAGGGTCTCAGGTGAGGGAGAAGAAAGATGCCCCCTCCACCGGCCACTTACACCAGTGAGCCCGAGAGCCTTGCCCAACAAAGCCCCTCCCAGCAGCTTTGTTTTTCTCTCCAACACCCAGGAAGCTGCCAGCCAGGATCCAAGCCTCTGTTCAAGGTCACTCCAGAAACACGAGCTTTCCCTTCTAGGCTTGGGGTTTGTGCTAGAACCAAGAGGCTCCCTTGGGAAAGGAGGCAGGTGGTCAGAGAAGCAGAGAGCAGCTATAGGGGAAGAGAGAGGGGAAGCCACAGGCGGCCTCCAATCTCCTCTTAAAGTGATTAGGCCTTCCTCCTTGTCCCCAGGGGAACCTGGAGTCCGCCCTGCTCTACTCCAGGCCATGGTGATTCTACGATTCATCGCACTTGCTCTGGTGACAGGTACCGTGGGGCTTAGCGGGAAGTGTGGGGCCTCCCTCTCTTATTTCTAAGTCCCTCCCCTACAACCCAGGTATACCAGGCATGGTCAAGTGGGTCTGAGCTGGGTCACTTCAAAAGCTGAGGACAGCCCCTAATGACCTGGGAGTACAGACTCATGCCAGTGCATGCCAGCTAAGAATGAGAACACTTGCTCCTCCCCACCCTCATTTCTGGGGTCCCTCTGCAAGCCTGCTCCCTCTTATGCTTATACCTCATCTTTTGCCTCCTTCAGGGCTTGTAGGGGGAGAGACAAGGATCATCAAGGGTTACGAGTGCACCCCTCATTCCCAGCCATGGCAGGTGGCCCTCTTTCAGAAGACTCGGCTTCTCTGTGGGGCAACCCTCATCGCCCCCAAATGGCTCCTGACAGCAGCCCACTGCCGCAAGCCGTGGGTGCGGGGGCTGGGGCGGGGCTGGGAGGGGGCTGGAGATGGAGAGATGGATGGAGAGAGGGGCTAGGACTAGAGAGAAGTTGGGGGGTGGCAGCAGCAGGTGGAGGGATTGGGGATGTAGCATTAGCACGGGTGATGAGAGCATGACCAAGAGTGGAGAGACAAAGGTACTGTTAGTGTGTATGTATGATGGGGATCTGTTGGGACTGAAGGTGGGGTGGTGTTACTTTGTACAAGGAAGATCTAGCTGGGTTGATGATAGAGGGATGAGGTGACCTTGGTGTGGGTGACGCTACTCTGGTCAGGATGGGGATGAGGGGGTGAGTGACGCTGGAAGTGGGAAGGGACTGGGCGTTTACAAGGTACCATTCATCATCTCTCCCTCCCCACCCCTGCCCTGTCCCCCTACCTTTCTGCCTCTGACCATATCTCTCCCGCCTCAGCCATTACGTGATTCTTCTTGGAGAGCACAATCTGGAGAAGACAGATGGTTACGAGCAGAAGCGGGTGGCCACTGAGTCCTTCCCCCACCCTGGCTTTAACAACAGCCTCCCCAACAAAGACCACCGGAACGACATCATGTTGGTGAAGATGTCGTCTCCCGCCATCATTACCCGAGCTGTGCGACCACTCACCCTGTCCTCCCACTGCGTCGCTGCGGGCACCAGCTGCCTCATTTCCGGATGGGGCACCACGTCCAGCCCCCAGTGTAGGGGCTCCCGAGGGAAACGTGATCAGGGTGGGAGATGGGATGTGGGGAATGGAGGCCAGAGGCAGAGATCAGAGTCACTCAAGAGGCATGGTCACTTTAGGCTGTCAAGAGCGGAATGAGCTGAAAGGGAGATGGGGAATTCTGGGAGACTCACTCTGGGTGTGATTCCCAAATCTGTAACTTTCTAGCCGTGGGATCTAAGGCAGATGACTTTACCTCCTTGGCCACTGGGTTTTTTTCTATAACAAGAATAATCACATCCACCTATCACAATGGGGTCGGAGATAATGCACCGGGATCAATCAGTATGAAGAGTTTACTCACAGCATTGCTGTTGCTATGGTTACAGGCGTAGAGATGGGCGAGGGTTGTCCCAGGTATCACTGCTGTGGTGGGTTGGGCTGCCAGTGCTCACTGCTTACCCCTGCTGCTGTTCCCACAGTGCGCCTGCCTCACTCCTTGCGATGTGCCAATGTCTCCATCATTGAACACAGGGAGTGTGAGAGCGCCTACCCGGGCAACATCACAGAAACCATGCTGTGTGCCAGTGTTCGGAAAGAGGGCAAAGACTCCTGCCAGGTCAGCAGGCGGGGGCTGGGTCTCCAGCAGATACCCGTGCCCAACCTCAGTCACACCTGCACTGCCATCTCCAACCATCTCCAACCCTGACGGCCACTTCCGACGCCAACACAATCCCTGTCTTCCCATGCGTACCCTCAATTCCTACTCCAGTCACCCATCAAGTTCTCTGGGCCCTAACCCCGTAGATAGGCTCACCCAGAACCCCGGCTTCATTTCCCAACCTCTCACCAGGACTGTTGTCAAATTCTTCCTTTGCCCGCTCCCCTCCCCCACTGGCCTCACCCCCACCACAAGCCTCTAACTGGACTTAACCGATTGTGTCTCCTCTCATGCCAGGGTGACTCTGGAGGCCCTCTAGTCTGTAATGGATCTCTTCAAGGCATCATCTCCTGGGGTCAGGACCCATGTGCAGTCACCAGAAAGCCTGGTGTCTATACAAAAGTCTGCAAATATACTGACTGGATCCACGAGATTATGAAAAACAACTAGAGGGGACCTGCTTGTCACTACCCAACCCCTCCAACCTCTTCTTGACGCTTTGGCTTCTGTCCATGCTTCCTTAAGAACCCTCTGCTAGGACCCTTGCATGCACTCTCTCTCACCCACCATGGATAGGGGATGCTTTGACCTGGATCAACTTGGGGCTTAGAACAAATCCTAGCTTGACCTAAGTTGTGACTCTGGACACCACTGGCTTTGTTTGTTTGGTTTTTGTTGTTTTGTCCCCAGCCCTGAAGACGGTCCCTGGTGTATTCAGGGTTTCAATAAATATTTGTTAAATGACAAAAAGGCTCTATTCAGTGTCAGCCGCATATGAATCCTGATACAGAGAGCTTTTAAATGATTTACGTGGGTTGAGTCTTTGTCTGCATGTATGTATGTGTATCACATGCCTGCTTGGTACCCCAGGAGTCCAGAAGGGGGCATCAGGTCCCCTGGACACCCTATGGGTGCCGGGAACCAAACCGGAGTCTTCAGCAAGAGCAGCAAGTCCCCTGAACCGCTGAGCCATCTCTCCTGCCCCGCCCCAGAACTTTTAAATGTTACTAACCAACCGAATGCTCACAACCCCCTGAGAGACTGGTCCTATTCTTCTACCCACTTTCCAGACAGGAAAGTGGGCACAGACACATGAAGGCATTTTCTCACAGCCATATAGCTGAGGAGTGAAAGATTGGAGGACTTGAAAACCCAGTGACAGTCTTAGCTATCAAAACAATGTCACGTTACAGCTCAGTTCATTTTCTTTTTATGTAACTTTAATTTCTTTTTTACATTTACTCATTCATTGCCGGGGCAAGGGTGCTCATGCCACGGTACACATGTGGAGGTGTGCAAATTGCAGGAGTCAGTCATCCCCTTCCACCATGTAGGGCCCAAGGATCAAACCTAGGTTGTCAGGCTTAGCCACAAGTACCCTTACCCACCAAGCAGGCCCAGCAGAAAGAACTCAGTTCGCTCCTTCCAGGCACTCAGTTCTTCCTACAGAAAATCACACGTCTGAAAGTATGAAAAAGGTGTGTGCATCTGCATGCATAGAGTAAGAGGCAGTAAAGAAGGCTGCTGTCGTTTTCAAACTGCCCAGATTCAGTTCACAGAGGCCAGCATCTGCTAGCCAAAACAAAGACAAAGCAGGAAGGAAATTCCTACCGCCTTTGACAAGTTCGAATGCTCTGCAGCTGGATGTGGCTGGTGGCTGCTGTAACATAACCACTGTAGCAAAAGATCTGGACAGAGCTGAGCCTGTCAAAAGATGCCCCAGATAACACAGACGTTCTGTTCCGCTCTTGGAGAGAGATCCTGGCACAAGGAAGAACTCAGAGCTGGAACCAGATAGAACCTTCGGTTGTTAGGTGGACTTGCTTGCTGTGTGACCTCTTATGAGTCACAGCCCTCTCTGAGCCTCCCATTCCTCACCCAAAATGAGGGTGTTAGCCGAGGTGATGTGGCCTGTCCCTTGCAGCCTGGGCCTCCTATGATTCACCAGCTGTGTGTCACCTGGAGACACGCAGGGAGGGTGCGAGATGTTCACACACAGGTTTAGTGCAAGGCTACAGACGCCCCTCCCCCAGCACATGCTGAGACACAAGGAGCTTCTGTTTCTTGGTTTACACCTCTGGGAGTTTGCCTCTTCCTCCCACCACCTGAACCCTGCCCACCCTCCTTCCCTTCCGCATTCCCACACCTGCCAACACCTACCTCTCTCCCTCTTCATCCCCCTTTGATGTCACACGTCATCCCATCATCCCAGAAGACTTGACCCCCTCCGCACCCTCCCACCGCACCTGGGAATACTTCTCATAACAGGGCATGGGGGAACCTCCAAGAAAGCCAGCTCCAGAAGGTGTTCCTGCCATCTGCAGCAGCCTGTATTCCAGGGCCCCTCCCGCAGCAGGAATCTGGGGCCCTGGTTGAGTGCCAGCCCCACCCACGTTATAATTAGGGAGAGGGAAAGAGAGGGAGTGAGTCCCTGAGGGGAGGGTGGGGGAAGCTTCCGGGATCTTGGGGGTTAAAAAGGGAAGGTCTGCCAGGGGTCCCTGGTCAGAGGACCGTTTGCGGTCCACATTGCACAGCAAGAGACACTTCGGAGTCTCCTCCCTCCTTCCCACTAGCGACTCCCAGGTGAAGGGGATGCACCCCACCCTGGTTGGGGTGGATGGCGAGAGGATGGGTGGGGACCCTCGGGCAACGGGCAGCAACTCTTTTGTAGCCCTGATTTCCCTGTCACATGGGGAAGTCCCTCAGCTCTGAGGTTAGGAAGAAGCTCCCAAGGGCTCTGAGCAGGACCCCCACCCCACGAAGGAGCGTGGACCTGGAGCTCAGCGTGGCTGGTGTCCCAGAAAGGCTGAGTGCACAAATGCTCCCCTCTGGAGGAAAGTCCTGAGGGCCCCGGAGAGGTCCCTGCTGAGATGGCCCAGGCGCGCCAGGCAGGGGTCTTGACAGAATATCTGTTTTAGCCCTCCGCTCCGGTCTCAGCAAGCCAGGTGTCAACCATGAGGGCCCAGCTCCTCTACTTCTCCACCGCCTCTGGTGCCTTGACCCTAGTGAAGCTGCTGCTACCGCTACTGATGGCGCAACTCTGGGGTGAGCCCTGGGCCGGGGGCAACGGGAGGGAAGGGCCAGGACCGGAGGAGGAGGGCGTGTGGCCGCAGCAACCATGCTCAGCTCGCCCTCCTGGGGACCCAGCACCTACATAACCATCCCAAGCAAGATCCACCCTCGGGTGGGCTCTGTCCCCAGGTGCCGTGCCCCACTGGAAAAGAACCGCAGCCCCTTCACTGCACCAGCACCTCAGCCTCTCCCGCTCCGCATGCCTTCTCCTCGCCCCTTGAACACTCACTGAGTCCCTGCCTATTCCTAAACGAGATCCCACAGTATGCCTAGTCTGCTGTGCAGCATTGGAGCCCTTCCTCTGCCCCTTCCCATCTTCGGACTCGACCTTCCCTTCTCTCCTGCCTAGTGCTTCACAGCGTTCTGGCCCGGTCCCTTACTGCCCTACTGTGTTCCTGTCTCCTCTCCTGGCCGCCCCTACTGTGCTCCTGTCTCCAGCTCCTTACTGCTGGGCTGTGCTCTGTCTCCGCCCCTCACTGCTCCATTGCTTTGTCTCTTCCCTTTACCTCCCCCATGTGTTCCGTTCTTACTACCCAACTGAGCTCTGTACCAGTCCCTCTCTGCGCCCCGCCCCACGCCCTTCCCTAACACAGTCCTAGGCCTGCATCTGGTCTCTGGCCCGTAGGTTAGAGCCCTGCCTTTCCTACAACCGTCTCCCCCAGATCCTCCCCACTCCATCCTCAGCCCTGGGGTGTCTTAGTCCGGTTCCATTCTAACCCCTCTTGCCCTATCACGCCTCTGCAACTGGTTCACAGGGTTCCCTAATTCTCCCACGGTTCATGATACAGCCGCGCCCCCTACAGGCCAATCGAGTGAAGTTCCGCACTGGCCGGGTTCCCAGCCCAGGCCAGGTGAGCCCTAATCCGCTGCCTTCGCTTCTCCACCCAGGCGCACAGGCGCTGCTGCTCCCGGGAAACGTCACGAGCTTGGACCTTGAGGCGTCTAGCGTCCCGTGCACACGTGACTCGCAGCCCTGGCAGGTGTCCCTCTTCCATAATCTCCAGTTCCAATGCGCGGGTGTCCTCGTGGACCGGAGCTGGGTGCTCACGGCCGCACACTGCTGGAGAAAGAAGTAAGGGATGCCCCAGAGGCAGCCACCGAGGGACCGCCACGGAGGGGTGGGGAGGATGGGACTCAGGCACTCTCCCTGCTCCGGTGAGGTTACGGTGAGGCGGGATTCGAGCTGCACCGCCAAAGGATGCCCAGGGTTCATCGCACCTGTCGCAGAAATCAGGGCCTGTTAAGTCAGTATTTAAGACAAAAACAAAAACCAAAATTGTGGTCCCCTCATGTGCCTGTCATGCAGGGAGAAAGGACAGGGTGACATGGAGAAAGGAGAGTTGGGCATACCCAAAGAGTTGAGACATCAGCCTTCAACCTCCAAACTCCTACTCTGTTCCCTCAGACCCAGGGACTCAGTCCCCAGTCCTGCTCGCTCAGACCCAGAAGTCCAGGCTCCAGCCCCTTTCCTCAGACCCAGGGGTTCAGACCCTAGCCTTCTGCCTCAGTCCCAAGGGACCAGTACCAGCCTCTCTTCCAGACCTCATTCTTTGATTTCAGGAGCCCAACTTCACTTCCTGACCCTCTGACCCAAGGACCAGGCTTTGTCTCCATGAAACCTATACCTCTAATCAGAGTCTTCTTCCCACAGGCCTCTGAGGGCTCGAGTTGGCGATGACCACCTGCTGCTTTTCCAGAAGGAGCAGCTTCGGTCCACGAATTCCCCCATTTTCCACCCCAAGTACCAGCCTTGCTCAGGCCCCATCCTGCCACACCGCTCAGATGAACATGACCTCATGATGCTGAAGCTGAGCAGTCCTATTGTGCCAACACCCAGCGTGTATCCCATCCAACTGCCCTTCCAGTGCGCCCAGCCAGGGCAGGAATGCCAGGTCGCAGGCTGGGGGACCTCAGCTGCCCGCAGAGGCAAGAACTGGGCTGGAGGGCTGGACTTTAAGGAGGAGGGTGGACTCCTGGGGTCTGAACGCCCGTGTCTAAGAGTGGAGGGGTGGGGTTAGGCTCCCTGGGTGTGCAGGAGGGAGACTTGGGTCTGGGGGAGAGCACTGACTGTGTGACTGACCTGTTCCTCTCAGTGAAATACAACAGGAGCCTGAGCTGCTCCAGGGTGACTCTCCTTAGCCAGAAGCAGTGTGAGATCTTCTACCCTGGCGTAATCACCAACAACATGATTTGTGCTGGGCTGGACAGAAACCAGGACTCTTGCCAGGTGAGGACAGGTCAGGAAGCATGTCTGTCTCCTGGATAGGCAGGCAGAGAGACGGTGAGGGAGCTGGTTCTGCTGGCTCTGCCTCCTCACTTCCCAACCCAGTCCTCCGTCCTCCCACTCTTTTCCTATCTCAACCCACTTCCTCCCTCAATGCATCTCACCCTACCGACTCCTACCCTTGATCCTTCTCAGTCCCCTCACCTCTGATGAGCCTCGGTTCCAACCACAAACCCATCACATTTCCACTGCCCCCTTCCAGCTCGGTATGCCCTTACTAGTCCAGCTTGTAACGTCATTCCAGCCCATGCCAGCGTCTTCTAACCCAGCCAGAGCCCTCCAGACAGTGGCAGCTCTCACTTCCCAGTGTCTCCTTCCTCCCATCCTCAGAGTGACTCTGGTGGCCCGCTGGTGTGCGACAACACTCTGCACGGCATCCTCTCCTGGGGCATCTACCCCTGTGGTGCTGCCCTGCACCCGGCCGTCTACACTGAGATCTGCAAATACAGTACCTGGATCCGGAGAGTCATTCGCTCCTCATGACCAGCCTCTCACGCCCTCCTTCCCCACAGCCTCGTCTCCTGCCATGCCCACTCAAACCTTTGAGCATGCATCCTCTCCCCTCATTCCCTGCCCATCCCTGTCCTCTGCTCACAAGGAAATGGTGCCAAGAAAGTTCTAGTACCTCAAGGAAGCTGGCAATCCCCCGGTTTTTGAGTTATCAGAGTCGTTCAACCTGGCTTCCTCCACTGTGTGTCAGGGGCGAGCCGGGTACTCTCTCTGTGCCTTGGTTTCCTTGTCTGAGAAAATGGGGACAACAATTTGTCTACCTCTTACATATGTTGCATAGAGACCATGATGGAATGTGTGAGTGTGGATTTTTATGGTAACTGTCCTGGAGACGTGGACACAGTCTGGCAAGCACTGATTAAACACTACCTGATCTGACCTCCTGTGTGTGTGCTTCTGTCTGGGATCAGGGCCAGTGGGTGCACACAAGGGCGGCCTTCACCTCTGTCAGCAGCAAAGAGGAGGCTCCACGCTGCCACCCACAGCATCCTCAGAGTCCCTGCATCTCTCAGGGGCCTCAGTTGACAAGCCAGTGTGCAGTAGGGTTGGAAGGGGTTTTTTGTTTGTTTGGTTGGTTGGTTTTGTTTGGTTTTTCAAGACAGGGTTTCTCTATTGTTTTGGAAGCTGTCCTGGAACTCGCTCTGTAGACCAGGCTAGCCTTGAACTCACAGAGATCCACCTGCCTCTGCCTCCCAAGTGCTGGGAATAAAGGTGTGTGCCACCAACACTCAGCGGGGACTTGTTTTTTAAAATTACATATATTTTGTGTGTGCAGGCATGCATGCACACTGCGTGTTACATGTATGGAGGTGTTTGGCTTTCTCTTTCCACCATGTGGTCCCAGACTTTGAACTCAGGTCATCTGGTTCAGTGGTAAGCCCAGTGAGCCATCTCAACAGATCTTGTTGATTAAAAAAATCATGTATGTGTGTGTGGGCATGTGCGTAGACATGAGGACACTTCAGGGGTCGGTTCTTTCATTCCACGTGTGGATCCTGGGGATTTAATTCAGGATGTCAGGCTTGGTGGTGTCTTCACCCACTGAACCAACTTACTGGCCCAAGTTGGAGTTTATTGCAATAGATTTTTATCATAGATTTTAAGCACAGGTGTTAAAAGAGAGGCACTTGGGAAGAAAGTAGTACACACCTAAAACCATGGCATGTCCTTTTTTATAATATTTACATATCTATTTGTGTGAATGCACGCAGATGTGTGTTTGTGTGTGTGTTACCATTATATGATATCTGATTATATTCATGTAATTGTGCCATTATATCTAGATGGGATCACAGGGTGGCTTCTGGGAGCACTTGGTGGAACTATAGCGCAGACGGTGCAACTCCAGATCCAGGGGGCTCATCTGTGGGGAAAGTCATCAGGAGAGGAAGGAGGCCCCAGGATGGACACACTCTGTCCTTTGGCCCAGACTACTGTGAGTTTAAAACTTTCTTTCTTTCTTTTTTTCCTTCCTTCCTTCCTTCCTTCCTTCCTTCCTTCCTTCCTTCCTTCCTTTCTTTCTTTCTTTGGTGTTGTATTTCAATACAGGATTTCTCTGTGTAGCCCTGGCTGTCCTGGCACTCACTCTGTAGACCATGATGGCCTTGAACTCACAGAGATCCTCCTGCCTCTGCCTCCCGAGTGCTAGGATTAAAGGCGTGCGCCACCACTGCCTGGCTGAGTTTAGAATTCTTATGTGAAAATATTTCTACATAAGAGAAATGTTGGAGCTAGATAGATGGTTCAGAGGTTAAGAGCACTGGCTGCTCTTCCAGAGGTCCTGAGTTCAATTCCCAGTACCTACATGGTGGCTCACAACCATCTGTAGTGAGATTGGGCCCTCTTCTGGTGTCCAGGTGTACATGCAGAAAGAAATATTGGACCAGCCAGTTCCGCAGTCCGCACGGGTGGAAGGAGAGAGGAAACACTTGCAAATTGTCCTCTGACCATCACGCAAGTACTACACTGTGGCAAACACATTCAGGAACACACCCAAAAGAAATACATGTGAAAAATATTAAGAAAGAAAGAAAAGAAGGGTCTGGAGAGAGGGCTGCTCTCCAGAGGACCTGGATTCAACCTCTAGCATCCACTTGGCAGCTCAGGACCAGCTGTAATTCCAGTTGCAGAGGCTCTGACGCTCTCTTCCAGTCTCCAGGCACGCATGTGGTGCCCAGACATACATGTAAACAGAATACCAATACACATAAAACTCAGAACTTTACAATATGGCCTGAGGAGATGGCGCAGTGGTTAAGAGTATGTGCTGCTCTTTCAGAGTACGCTGAGTTTGGTTCCCAGTACATGAGCGCCTCCTTGGCCACCTGCACTCACATCCATGTTCCCATCTACAAGCGTGCACAAATATACATGATTTTAAAATCATAAACATAACTCTTACCAACAAAACCAAAACAAACAACTCAATATGATTAATTGCACTGGGACTCCTGACTCTTAGCTAGTGAGAAACTTTAGCTGGGCTCTGGAATAAAGGGCCCCTCTTCATTATTTTCTGTGACAGAATTCTACTGGCTTGGCACCAGAGTGATAGCAACTAGCCTTAATCCTCGCTGGGCTATACTTGGCCCAGCTCCAGAAGAATTAGCACTTAGCCCTAATCAATCCTTTGTTGAGCAGATAACTTTTGTACCCTTGCCTGAGAGGTCCCCAAGGATGCAAAGGCCTGTGCCTTTGGTTCAAGGATCCTGGGAAACTGTAGTACCTAATGAATGGGGTCTTTGCACTTGGCATTGTCCTTTTGGAAGACTCATTCAAGTCGTTCTAAGCATATGGTAATCAACTGGTTAAATTGTAAATATTGAGAAAAATAGAAATGCCCTGGGCATAAGGAAAGCGCTTCAGTCCATTGGGGCTGAAGACCCCTGCAGCCTCAGAAGGCAAAGTTTATTCTCTTTTGCTTGTTTTTTTTTTTTTCTTTTCAAGACAGGGCTTCTCTGTGTATCTTTCCCTTCGCAAGGGGTCCTGACACTCACTCTGTAGACCAGGCTGGCCTCGAACTCACAGAGATCCGCCTGCCTCTACCTCCTAAGTGCTGGGATTAAAGGTGTGTGCCACCACCGCCTGGCTCTAAATTCATTCTAAAAAGTGCCTCAGAGTCTCCTTTTCGACCGACCTGCATGAACCCACACCTGTGCCATGATATCCACAACAATTTCCCCTTTGTGCCCTGCATCCCTCCCCGCCATGCATAGGTCTGATAGGAAACAGGGTTCTCCATTCCCCACTAAGTTTCGGAAGTGTCTTTTAACCACTTCCTCTCCCCCTCCCACTAGGTCATTTTTGGATCCACCCAACACCAGTTCTTCCTGTCCTGGCAGGAACCAGCCTAACTTTGGGTCTGCCTTCCCAGGGGCCCCACGCAGTATCGCACACCGGCTCCCAACCACAACAGAGCCGGCCTCCACTGTTCACTGTGCCTCCCGTTAAGGGGCTCTGAGGGCTTTGTCAAAGAGATTATTGTCCTCACCCTGATGTGGTCTATGGGTAAATGTTCTTATTCTGAAAGGCCCATGGACTTCATTACAGAGGTCCCATGAAACCGAAATGTGTTTGAGCATCCTAACTTAGCCTAGACCTAATAAAAGGGAACAGACGTCTTGGCAGAGGGGAATTTAGTTTGGGTCTTGAAGGACGAATAAGAGTTCATCAGAAAAAGGAAACAGAGAAAGGTATACACTTAATCAGCACATTTCCCTCCTTCAAACACCAATTAATTGAGACTCTTTAGTCTTCTGGGTCCAGTGTGGGAAGGACGGATAATAATGAACACGGAAAGGCCCCTGTTCTCAGCAAAGCCCACACAGGGTTAAAGTCCAGGTCAGCACATGGTGTCTGACCTACAGCTAGCTTCCTTCTGTTGTGTCTTCCCCCATCCCATCCCATAGCACGCTCAGGAAACGTCAGTCCTCTGTGTCACCTGAGGGTCTTGCAGACCAGCCTCATGTTTGGAGGTGACTCACCCCTGTCCTCTGCCAGGCCCAAGATGACTCCAACCAAGCCCTACCCCCAGGAAGCTGCTCATCAGGTCCAGAAGACAGGCAAGTCTCACATTCCTGTCACTCAGGTGTCTGTGAAGTCACTTCCTCCAGGAGGCCTTCCTGGATTGTCATAGACAAAAGTGTCCCGTGTTGGTTACTGATCTCAATGGCCCAGTCCATTTCCTCTGTGGCACGTGACAGCCTCTGTTGTCTTGTTTGTGTCTTTATTTGATAACATCCTCCCTATCCCACACTCTGCTTCAATCCCACTGCCCTCAAACAGAGATACCGGCTATGTTCGACTCGTGCATATTAAATAAGATAATAGAAGCAAATCTCTTATTTAAGTCCAAGCTATTGAGGGCTGGAGGTGGCTCAGTGGCTTAGAACACTGAATGTTCTTTCAGAGGATCCAGACGCAGTTCCCAGCACCCGCATGGTGGCTCACAACCATTCATAACTCCAGTTCCAGGGGATCCAATGCCTTCCTGTGACCTCTGCAGGTACCAGGTGTGCACACTACGTGCACGCGCGCGCACACACACGCACACATCCAGGAAAATATTCATGCCATAAAACAATCCCACTCTAGATGGCTGGGCTGTCCAGATGGCTCGGTGGGTAAAGGTGCCTGCTGCCAAGCCTGAGGGCCTGAGATTCATCCCCAGGACCCACAGAGTGGAAGGAGAGAAATGACCCCCACAGACTGCTCTGTGGCCTCCACACATGTTCTGTTTCATGCCCACATAAAAGAAATTAAATAAACATAATTGTTAGGAGTAGCTGAGATGGCTCAGTAGTTGAGAGGCCTTTGCTGCTCTGTTCTGAGAACCATAGCAGGACCCGGCACTAAAAAACACCTGCAACACACAAAATAAATCTTTTTTTCAAAGGATAGCTATTAACATGTGTTTTCTTTTTTTCTCTCTCTCTTTTGGTTTGGTTTTTGGAGACAGGGTTTCTCTGTGTAGCTTTGGAGCCTGTCCTGGAACTTGCTTTGTAGACCAGGTTGGCCTTCAACTCCCAGAGAAAGTGCTGGAATTAAAGGCATGTGCTACCACCACCCAAGTAACACATACTTTTTAAAAGATCTATTCTATCTTTATTTGCGCGCGCGTGTGTGTGTGTGTGTGTGTGTGTGTGTGTATGCAGATGAGCATTACCTTCAGATGCCAGGGCATCAGATCTTCCAGACTGGAGTTATAATCCACAATATAGGCTATTGGGAACCATCTGATGTATGTGCTGAGAATTGAATTGAATCTTTTGAAGAGCAGCAAGTGCTCCTAACCATGGATCCATCTCTCCAGCCCCTAGAATATACTCCTAAAGCACATATCTAGTCCTTAGCCTACAGCATGCAGTCCCAGCTCTCAGAGACAGGCACAGCTGATTGGGGAGTAGCAGTGCCCTTGGCTGCCGGGCGCATGAAGACTGTGTAGGGCTCTGTGGTGGATGAGAAGACAGCTTGTTTTTCACACAGCAGGCGCTTTTTGTGTCTGTGTGTGCAATGCTCATGTGTACATGTGTGTATGTGCATGTGCAGGCCAGAGGTCCACATCATTTGTCTCTATTACTTTCCACCCTTTCTTCCTTTTGCAAATATCAGTCTTTAACTTAAACAATTATTTATCTACTTAGTGTGTGTGGGTGTTTTGCCTGCACGTATGTCTGTGCACTATGTGTGAATGCAGTGTCCAAGGACACAAGAAAAGGATGTCATCCCCTGGAGCTGGACAGTGTGAGCCACCGGGTGGCTGCTGGGAATTGAGCCAAGACCCTCTGGAGGAGCAGCCAGTGCTCAGGATCCCTGAGCCCGCTCCTAGCCCGCTGCCTCTTCCTATTACACTTTATTATTTTTACTTTGCGTGCCTGTGCGCGGGATGTGGGCGGAGTGATATGTGGAGGGAGACGACACGTAAGGATCGGTTCCCTCTTCCTTCCACCAGGTGGTACTGAGGATCAAACCAGGTCAAGTCTGGCAGCAAGCGTGTCTACCCACTGAGCTTTCTCATTGGCTCTCCTTGGTTTTTGAGACAGAGCTGCCCACTGAACCTAGAGCTCACAGATTGACTCGCCTGGCTGGCCAGCAAGCCCCCAGGATCTGTGCTGGGGTTTAATGCATGTGAGCCATGTGCCTGCTTGTTTGTGTGTGTTGTGTTGTGCGTATGTATGTATGTGCGTATTACTATGTGTGTTCATGTGTTCGCGATCGAGTGTGTGTGTGTGTGTGCACGCGCATGTGTGTGTTTTAAACAGGGCGCTGGGGACTGAGCTCAGGTTTGCACAGCAAGTACTTTAACCCACGGAACCATCTCCCCAGGCATTCTTATGAGAGTAACATCTGTTCACTTGTGCCACCGCCTCCTCCCTGAAGCTTTGGTTACTACTGTCATTTAACAGCCCCAACAACTAAGCCATGCATCCAGTCTTTACCCCTAAGAAAACTGGGCACAGATGGTCCAGCTCAAAGTGCAATGTCATAGGGAAAGGGTGTTCCAGGGAGCAAATTTCAACCAGATATTCAGGCTCCTGGGCAGCAGAAAGTGTGTGTGGTGCTGGTCAGGGCCAAGTCAGCCTTGGCCTAGAGAAATCACGGAAGGCATGTCAGCAGAGGGGCGTCTAGGTTGGGTCTTGAAGATGATTAAGAGTTTATCAGAAAAAGAAGGATATGGAGAAGGACATTCACTCAATCATTAGCATCTTTGGAGGACTCCAAAGAGCCACACCCAGAACAGGGTGATACTGGGGACAGGAATGAGTCAGACCCAGACTGGAATCTTCACCCTGTGCTGGGATGGAAAAGCAGGAAAGACAAAACAGGAGTGGGGGATAGTTAAGAACAACACATCAGGCGTGAGGTTCTGGGAGTGTGTTAGAGGAGAGGGGAGACGGGAAGAGACTTGAGCTTGGTTGCAGAGAAGTTGAGCCCCTGGGTTCTCACTGTGCTTGGAACCATGGGGAAGGTTATGACAGGAGCGGGTTGGTCCAGATGGTACCAGATTTCTCAACACCACAGGAGAGGCCCCTGTGCTTGAGGGAAGGAGCCCTGATCCCAGTCCCAGAACAGGTTTGGTTTGGTGGAGAGACCTTCATTGAGAGATTCATTCATTCTCTCTCAGACATTCATACTCATATTCTCTCTCTGCTCTCACTTCCTCTTCCTTCTTCTTTCCCCTTCTCCCCACTCCCCTTCTCCTCATCCTGAACCCAGATCTCACAGCCTGAGGTCATGGGAAGCGAACCCCCACCCTCTTAAGGCTCTGAAGAACCTCTCCAAGATCCAGCACACTCCCCATTTAGCCCATTCTGCTGAGCTAGGAGCCCATGGAGAGTCCCCTTGCGCCCACCTTCCCTCCCAGAGGACCCTGGCATCAGGCCTTCCCCCTCCCCCGGGGACATTTCTCAACCCTGATTAATCACAGGGGCGGCCCCAGGGAGGAGGAAGGAAGATCTCTATGGCTTACCATAAAGAAGGCCAGGCGCCCAGCTGCAGGCCGCTGGACCTGCGCCCAAGGTCATGAAGCTGGGACTCACCTTCTTGGTGTTGCTGTCTCTGCTGGCAGGTGAGAAGCCTAGCTCTGCTCCCTCAACCCCATGCTACCTGATGCGATGTCCTCTGCACCCTGGACTCCCCAGCATCTTCCTCCCCGAGCTCTCCCCAGCCTGCTGTCTCTGACCCCTGCGCCCTCCACTGCACCCCAGATCACTGTGGAGCCGACACCCGTGCCGTGGGAGCCCGGGAATGCCAGCGCCACTCTCAGCCTTGGCAGGCGGGCCTCTTTTACCTCACCCGACAGCTCTGCGGAGCCACGCTCATCAGCGACAGATGGCTACTCACAGCTGCCCACTGTCGAAAGCCGTGAGTGTTCAGGGCCGGCCAGGCCCAGCGGGAGCCGGGAAGCAGGAGGAGGGAAAGGGCTGAGGTGGAGGGTTGGGGGCTCAGGGTTGGAGGCAGGAGGGGTCTGACACCAGGCCATGACTCTTAGGGTCCTGCTCAGAGACCTTATTTTAACACTCAACATGTAGGCTCTTCAGGGCCTGCTGTGTAGTCTTGGTTGTCCTGGAACTTACAATGTAGATCAGAGTGGTCTGGAACATAGAGATCCACAGACATCTGCCTTCCCAGAGTGCTGGGATTATATGCTGGACCAACCAGGAATTCAAGATCATTCTCAGTTAAAGAAAGAGTTCTAAAGAAGCTGGGATACATGCAACTCTGTCGAGAGAGAGAGAGAGACAGAGACAGAGACAGAGACAGAGACAGAGAGACAGAGACAGAGAGAACACAAAAGAGAGAAGATGAAGAGAGAAAAGAGTGATGGGAGAGGAGGGGGTAAGGGATGAAAGAGAGATAAATGGAGAAAGACCTAGAGAGACAGACAGGAGAGAAAGGAAAGATGGAAGGGAAATTCTAGAATCCTATATCAGAAATTATTAGAGTTTTCAGTCAGTGCTTGGAATAGAGGGAATTCTAGAAGCTTAGACTAATGAACATGTAAATCTGGTGGGTTTAATGTCCCAGAATCCCACTACTGCAGAATCTTATGAAGTAAGAGGGCTTCTCTCAGGTGCTCTTGACTGTGGATGCCTAAAGTTTTCTAAATCAAATGTTTAGAGACAGCTAGACTGACGGAACTCCTGTCTTACTGTCCTAGATAGCTAGACTGACAGAACTCCTGTCTTACTGTCTTGAACTGCTGGACTGACAAAACTCTTGTCTTACTGTCCTGGACTACTGGGAGTCTAGAATCTTTGAGCATTAGGTTTAATACAATCTTCAAATCTTGGATTTTTTTTTCAGACAGGATTCACACAGTCCAGGCTGGCCTTGAACCTGCTATGCAGCCAATGATGTCCTTGAACTCCTGGTCTTCTTGTCTCTGCCTCCTGAGTGCTGGATGACAGACTTTGTGATGAAATGAGACACAGAATGTTAGGAGTGTGGATCTAAACAGTTCCCTTAAATTGAGCATCGCAGAGTCCCAGAAAGACTGGGAATGAGGGATTAGGCTCTTAAAACTCTAGGATCCTGACTCTGAGTGTTCTAGAGTCCTGGACCTCCTGAAGTGAAAGAAATCTCTGTTTATTGTCCCTGGCGAAGGTCACCCAGGCTGTTCCAACATTCTCACCAGGAATTTCCCAAGATGCATCCCTCCAATATGGGTACCATCTTGGGCTGAGAGAGTGATGTATTGATTTAGCCCCCCCATAAGAGGAGAAAAGGCAGGGGTGCGGAGATGGAAGAACAGCCAGGGAGCTAGATGGCACTACAGGGCTAGCTTCTGCACCCCAGGGTGTCAGAGATGGGTAGACATAGAAATAACCTTATACTCCCCAAACCCTGAGTTTTCAATCATCACCATCAAAGGTTGGAGGTTAGGGGACATGGAGACCTTAGACAGTTCCCAAATGTCCACAACACAGACTCAGACCAGAACAAGTTTTCTGGGGCTGCAGCAAGAAGAAATGCCTGGGCAATAAAGGAAGTTACAGGGAGGAGTGGCTTAAGGCCTCTTGGAAAACTTGGAAGTTTTCCATGTCCCCTCCATACACACATTGAAACACTTAAAGCCACTCCCACAGAAGCCACCAGACCTGTGGGGGCAGGGGCGGGGTAGTTTTGTGTGGTAGGTGGGGTCCCCATGCATCCACAAAGTCCCAGTGGGCCCAGGTCACCACTGAGGCCCCAGGTCAGGTAGAGAAGAAGGTGGTTGAGTCCACAAAGTAGGCTAAGAGCCTCAGAGAGGTTGTATGGCTGTGGAGGGGCTCACAGTACTGGGGGACTGAGCCACCCATTCCCAGCCTGATCTCTGGTGTGTCCCATAGGTACTTGTGGGTCCGGCTCGGGGAGCATCACCTGTGGCAGTGGGAGGGCCCCGAGAAGCTGCTTCTGGCCACGGATTTCTTCCCCCATCCTGGGTTCAATGCGGATCTCTCTGCCAATGACCACAATGATGACATCATGCTGATCCGGCTACCTAGGAAGGTCCAGATGAGTGCAGCTGTGCAGCCCCTCAACCTCAGCCAGAGCCTCCCGAACGTGGGCTCCCAGTGCCTTATCTCTGGCTGGGGCAGTGTGTCCAGCTCCAAATGTACGGACACTCCCTTGAGTCTGCTCATTTCTTACCATGCGCCCTCTGTTTTTCCTCTCCCTCCATCTCCTCCTCCTCCTCCATTTTCTCCTCCCCTTTCTCTTCCATCTCCCCCTCCTTCCTCATCCTCCATCTTCTTTCTCCTCTCCTCCTCCTTCCCTTCCCCCTCTTCCCTTTTTCCTTCTCCTCTCCTCCTCCTTTTCCTTTTTCCTCTTCATCCCCTCCCCCTTTCTTTCCTCCGTAGCCTTCCCCCTGGAAAGTGTCTCCTAGCCTAGCTCCAGGGAGAGACCTTGTCTCAAGGGAATGAGTAGAGTGACAGATCAGGAGGCTCTGGCCTCTGTGTGCTCATACAAGCCATGTACACTCCATACATGTGCACATACCACATGTATGCACACAGAAAATCCAAGGCAGAGTATGGTACATGCCATTGATCCCAGGACTTGGCAGGCAGCAGCAGGCCGCTATCTCTAGGAATTTGAAGCCAGCCTGGTCTGCATAGAAAGTTCTAGCCAAGGCTTGGTAGTGAGGTGTTTCAAAAATAAAAAATAAGTATAAATAAACAAATAATAAAATTCAAAGAATGGGCAAAAAGGTGTTCATACTCTCAAAATAGTACCCACTTGGCAGGGTCAATAATACAGGCTGCCCCTCAGAGTAGTAGTAGAGGCTACACCCCAGAGATCTTTATCTGTGAGAAACCAAGTACTCGCACTGTGCTGTCCACCCCTGCAACTTCTCTGGACCCCTTTCTCTGCGTGTCTGCCTTGCCATCTGTCTGTGATGATAGTTTTCCCTCAGGAGTGTCCATCTCCATCCCTGGTCTCTATTCACCCCACCCCTGTGAGGTGCACACACACACACACACACACACACACACACACACACATCTTCCTGTTCCTCTCCCTTACACACACACACACACACACACACACACACACATCTTCCTGTTCCTCTCCCCTCTCCCTTTTAGTCTCCCCCCTCTTAGACACCTGTTCTTCTCCAGCCTTGTGACTGTCTGGGTTGACATCTCTTACCTCCATCTTTGAGCCTTGGCCCTGTGGCCCTGGGAAGGGCTGAAGGGAAGGTTCTAGAGGGTGCTGCCCAGGATTCTGGGAGCATCCTTCATCCTCTGCCTTCTTCCCCAACAGTACAGTACCCAATGACACTGCAGTGTGCCTACATCAGCATCCTGGACAACAAACTTTGTCGCTGGGCTTACCCAGGTCACATCTCCGAGAAGATGCTGTGTGCTGGCTTGTGGGAGGGAGGCCGAGGCTCCTGCCAGGTGAACCACCTCCTGCAGGGAGATGCAGGCCTTTTTCTAGACCTTAGGGCGGAGATAGCTGGAAGCCCAGACGCCAGGACCTAAGGAAGAAGGGTCCTGGGGATCCAGGCTGAGTTCTAGGGGATTCGGGGAGTCCAAGATGCTACATGGTGGGGTCGGGGAGGGGGTGAGGTCTGTGAGGTTTTATTCCTGGGTCTGAGGGAAGAGAGACTGCAAACCACCTCGGGGGTGTTGAACGGCAGGAACCAGAAGGCTCTCTCAGAAAGAAGCTTTGATTCTCATGAACAGACCCAGCTAACAGCTCTGCTCTTCACCACTCACAGGGTGACTCTGGGGGACCTCTGGTGTGCAACGGAACCCTGGCGGGTATAGTGTCTGGGGGATCTGAGCCTTGTTCCAGACCCCAGAGACCCGCTGTCTATACCAGCGTATGCCACTACCGGGACTGGATTCAAAAAACCATGGAAGAAAACTGAGTCCATGCTAAGGACAGACTGGAGAGGACGATGGAAGCAGGACGGGAAGATACTGTAGGACTCCACAGCCCCAGCTGCTCTCCCTAGCCTCCCTGTCACAACCCTGGACGCTGAAACTCCGCCCCCTCAGGCTCTGCAACCGACTCCACTCCTTAGGCTCCGCCCCAAGACTCCACCTCTTAGGTCACTCCGCTCCCAGGCAAATCAATTATAACACGACCACGCCCCCTCAGAGACACTCCAGACTACATGACTTTAATCACCACTCTCTGGAGTAGCCCAGCCCTTAAGATCACCGCCAAGAAATATCTTTCACTAAACAGCTGCATCCCTCCAAATTTTACCGTGTAGGATGCCTTCTCTGGACTCCACCCCGCGTGGCCCCACCTCTGGTGATGCCAGGCCTACGTTAACTTCAGGCAGTTTGGGGTTCTACCCAGGCCGTGTTGTGGGTTTGATGAGGGGATGGTGGGGGCATTGATCTTTCCAGAGCCACTGAATGAATGAGAATAAAGCATAGGGGCGGTGACTTCCTATCTCCTGTGATGTGGGGTGAAGGCGGCTCGCACGTGGGAAGGAAAGGGCAAATCAGGGAACCGACACCAGCCGAACCTTTGCGCTGACCCTAACAGCAGGCCTATTGCTGCACATTGGGACTTCAGCCAGGGCTTGTCCCGCCGCCCCAGGGAGAAGGGGAAACCAGGTCACAGCGCCACCCGAACCTGCCTACCCAGATGCCCCGGCCGGCTGCTGATCCACCCTCAAAGTCCCCAACCAGAACACACGCCTTCCCCACCTTCCACAAAACTCAGTTCCGACAGAAATAGTACCCTGCTCCCTGTAGCCCTGGAGAACACCCCAGCCCTCCTCCTTCAGATTCAGCAGCCCTCCGTCCTTCCTCAGACCCAGAGGTTCAGACGAGCTATTCAAAGCTCAGCTCACTTCTCTCGGGCTCAGGGATTTAGGCTCCACCTTCCTCCCTCACACTCGGGTTCAGGCTCCGGTCCGCCTCCCTCAGACCCAGAAATCCAAACACCAGCCCTCTTCCCTGCGACTCAAAGGTGCCACACGACCCAGCCCTCCTCCCTCAGACCCAGGGGTCCAGAACCAGCCTCCTCCCTCAGACGCCAGAGACCAGATTCTAGCTGCCTCCGTCTCCCTGGCCCAGCTCTTTCCGTTCTAGCCCGGGGGTCCGGTGCGTAGCCCCTCCAGACCTCACCTTGGCTTCCGAGACTCCGGCCCCTCTTCCTAAAGTCCTTGCAGCCCCCGCCCCTCCTCTCGCGCTTGCGGGCTCAGCCGCACCGCCGCCAGCTGCTGGCAGGAGGCGGAGCCATGGGCAGGGCCTCCTAGTTAAAAGGCTGCAAAATCGTGCACCCAACACACCGAAGAAAGTCCGGGGGCCTCTTCCACCGAGTCCGAGTGACCCCGCCCCCTGCATTCTGGAAGGTGAGGCGCAGAGGTCCCCAGTCACGGATCTCAGGCGCAGGGATCTCCCCCTCCCCTGAGCCCAGGCCCCCCAAGCCTCATATCCTTTCGCTCAGGACCTTCTAGCGGGCCTCCGAGCTCCATCCTCCCCAGGAGGTTGGAGTCACTGCCTCAGATCTTTCTCCGCCATCCCACGAGTGGGCCTGAGCTCCTTCCTTCAGAATGTCGGGAGCCCTGCGGGCAAGCTGTCCCCCGCAGAGAAATTCCGGGATCTAGAGCTCTGCCCCAGCTTCCTCGGACCCCACAACTCCATCCTCCGGAAACACCTCCTTCCCCTCGTTCCCAAAACAAGATCTCAGGCTCCTCCCTCGGACGTCCTCTGAGCTCCACCCTCTTCCTCAGAGACCACCATGGGATGCCCCCCACCCTGTGCAACCCAGAAGTGGATCTTTGTGTCTCTGCTGATGGGAACGTGGGCAGGTGAGATGGATAGGTGCGACCACCCAGGGCCTGCAGTAGGGTAGGAGTTACCGGACCCTGAGTGAGCGCCTGCTGACACGGGTGTGCATGTGGTGGGCTTGGGGAACTGAGGAGTTTTCTCGGGAGTGGGTAGAGCTCGCAGCATAATGGTGGCGGTAGTGGGTTGAGTTTCCCGTAGGTGCATGGCTGCGAAGGGGACTCTTGTTGGCTGTCACACAAGGAACGGGATTTGAATGTGGGGACGTATAAAGACCCACCTAGATATATGTGGAGGCACCAGAAGCCGTGCTAGTGTTGATGATTCTCAAGTATCAATGAGTTTACATGTGCGGCCATGTGGCCGTGTTCCAATGGATGCCAGGACCTTATCTGTTGAATTTGTAAGAGATGACATGCAGAGGAACTGGCCTGTGTGTCCATTTGAACCCACAGTGGCTTTCCTGGCCCTGACTCTGCCCCACCCTTCTCCCTCCTGATGCAGGACTCACCAGAGCTCAGGGCTCCAAGGTCCTGGAGGGCCGGGAGTGCAAACCCCACTCGCAGCCTTGGCAGACAGCCTTGTTCCAGGGCCCACGACTTGTCTGCGGGGGTGTCCTGGTAGGAGACAAGTGGGTCCTCACTGCAGCCCACTGCAAAAAACAGTGAGTGGTGGGCTGGGCACAGAGGGGTGGTGTTGGTGGGAAGCGGGTGAGGCTCGGAGGAGGAGGAGGAGGAGGGGGAGGAGGAGGAGTGGGGGGGAGGTTAGAGCCCTGGTCTGAGCAAGGAGGGCTAGGGAGCACTGCTGGATCTGGGTCGGACAGGCTAGGACCTATACTCCTGGGCTAGGTGGAAGACGATTGGGTTCTGAAGGAGAAGGATGGGAGGGAATGCCTACATGCCTCCAACTCCTGCCTGCCCCCAACCCCTCTGTGCAGGAAGTACTCAGTGCGCCTGGGCGATCACAGCCTGCAGAGCAGAGACAGGCCGGAACAGGAGATCCAGGTGGTTCAGTCTATCCAGCACCCTTGTTACAACAGTAGCAACCCTGAGGATCACAGTCACGACATCATGCTCATTCGAATGCGCCGTTCAGCAAACCTTGGGGACAAAGTGAAGTCCATCAAACTGGCCAATGAGTGTCCCAAAGTTGGCCAGAAGTGCACCATATCCGGCTGGGGCACTGTCACCAGTCCTCGAGGTAATGAGATGGGCCCTAACTAAGAGGGTGATGAGAAGGCAGGCAGCCCGGTGGACCCCAAGCCATTGCAGACCTCGTCTCCCAACACTCCCTGACCCCCCCCCAAGGGTGGATGATGAAACAGGAAAGTCACCACCACGTTAAGTGTTGTGGAGAAGGGGACAGAACGATGGGGCTTGCGGGCAGGACTGTAAGTAAATTGCTTGCTGAGCAAGGGTGAGGACCTGAGTTCAGATCCCCAGCGCCCACATTAAAGCCACGTGTAGCAGTGTGCACTAGCAAGCCCAATGCTGGGAGGTGGAGATAGGTGGGTCCCAGGGTTCATTAGCCATGCAGCATAGCCTAAAGGGTGAGATGCCTTCAACGAGAGACCCTGTGTCGGTACATATATGTGGTGAAGCGGAGGTACTGTTTGGTTTTTTTAAACTATATGTATTTATTTGTGTGTTCGTATATGAGCATGTGTACATATGCACGCCCAGGCACACATGTAAAGGTCAGAGGGCAATCTGTAGGAATCAGTTATTTCCTTCCACCCTATGGATTCTAGTGGTTGTGAGGCTTGACAGCAGTACCTTCACCCGCTGAACCACCTCACCAGCCCGGGGAGCAGAGAGACTGGTGGATCCCCGGGACTCTGGCCAGACAGCATAGCTGAATTGTTGTCTCAAAGAGCAAGGTGGACTCCATCTTGAAGATCAACACCATTGATTAACATACACACACACACACACACACACACACACACACACACACTCATTCACCTGTGGCCCACATTAGAAACCTTGAACGATAGATAATGGGAAAGAGATTAAACAGGTTATTAATGTTAAGTAGAATTCAAAGAAAGAAAAAGGAAAACAAACCTTTCCTCCATGTTGTATACCCTTCCATTTTATATAACCTTCCCAGTAGACTCAGGCGCAAGCTCTAGCCTGACCCTGACCTTCTTTCCCGTTCCCCAGGGTCCAGACCCTTCATCGTCCCCCAGCCTCCATGCTGCAAGGGGGTCCAAACTCCCTTCTTACGCATGAGCCACACTCCAGTCTCTTAGGGACTTTGGCACATCTAGAATGCACCTCAGCTTATAACTTCCCAGCGGCAACAGGTGGGGCTCGGCTCAGGGAGACAATGGGCCTTCCAGGAATTGGCCATGCCAGCAATCAGGTCCCTACATGTCTGACTTCTACCAGGACTGTGTGGCTTGGAAATGTATGCTGAGGAAGTGGGCGGATCTTCCCAGCAGCCCCGGGGAGCCAGTTTCCACCCCTGCCTCATTTCCTCCAGTGTGTTTGGGGAGTCAGCATCCAATTGGCAGTGCGCTCCATGAGGGTTCCGTTTTCTTTAGTTTTGATTGTATTTTACCTATTGTGTGTGTGCATGTGTGTGTTCTACAGTGTGCCAGTGAAAGTAGGGACAGCCTGTGGGGTTTCTCTCCTTCCACCACGATGGCCCAAGGATCAAAGCCAGGCCATCAGGCTTGAGGCTTGACTCTCTGAGCTCTCTTTCCCAGACTCATCTGTGTTCTTTGTTATATTTATTTATTTTTATTTTATGTGTATGAGTGTTTGCCTGGATGTCTGTGTACCCCATGCATGTGGTGCCTGCAGAGGCCCGGGAAGTCCTGGCCTGGAGTTAGATAGCACGTGGTGGCGGGGAGCAGAACCCGGTGATCCTAGCCCAGTCTGTTTTGTTTTGAGATTGGCTCTCTGTGTTGTGCAACTCTGGCTATCCTGGAATTATGTAGACCAGGCTGGCCTCGAATTTCCAGATAATCACCTGCTTTAGTCTCCCAAGTTCAGGTATTAAAGGTGTTCGCCACTATTCCCGGCCCCATCTGTTCTTGGTGCGTGGAAGTTCCCTGAGACCCCGGAAATGCTTGGTAAACGTTCTTGCGTGGATGAATGAATGACAAAATGAATGAATGCATCCTGACCCCTTCAAAGCACTGTGAACGTTACATGAGATTTTGAGCAGACAGACTTTGGATCTTTTACTTGTCTTCTTAAAAGGAATTTATAGCAAGTTAATTGTAATTCCAGTCATTAATTTTTTTTTGTCACTATTAGAACTGACCTGAGGGCCTTGCACTTGGTAGGCAGATGCTATACCACTGAGTCAGGCTCCCTGTCCCCCACTCAGGGATTCTGGGCAGGGGCTCTACACATCCACAGTCAGCCATTAACATTTATTAAACAGCCAGGATGCCCAAGATACTGAGGTAAACGCCTGCACAGCCATGAAGTCATGAGCAAACTAGATGACTCTTAAGGAGCTCATCTTAGTTGGGCGATAGAATAAAAAATCAGACACATGTAAGGAAGTATCAGAGGCCAGTGCTGTGGAGGAAGTAGTGGAGGGTGAGCGACCAGAGCATCCTGTGAGGGAACACAGAGCTATCCCGCCAGGTACTCAGGCGACCGAGGCTGAGCATCTCAAGGTCAATGTCAGGCTAAGCAGCTTAATGAGGGTCATAAAATAAAAATGAACTAAGAAGTGTGATGTGACACGCACACTTGTCACCCCAATACTTGAACGGTGGAGGCTATGCAGAGAGTTGGAAGCCAGCCTTGGCTACATGAAACTGCCCTTAAAAGAAACAAAATTAAGGAAAAGGGTTTGGAAATGTAGCCCAGCGATACAGTGCCTGCCTAGTGTGCTTGAACTCAGCTTGCACTCTCTCCTCTCTCTCTCCTTCTCTCTTTCCTCTCCATTCCCCACTCCCTTCTGTCTCGCTCTCTCTTTCTCTCTCCCTCTCTCTGCTCCCTCCCCATACACACTCACAGGTGTCGGCAGACAGGTGTACTTAATCGGAATGGCCAGGAAGGGCTCCGAGGAGGAGAAGATGTTTGGGAAAAGCAGACTATAGACGAAATCAAGGACCTAGTGACCTAGTGACAAGAAAGTTAGGGAGAGGACAGGATGTGCCACAGAGAGGTACTACAAAATTCCCCTCCATCGTCTGCCCTAGATTTAAATATGACTGAAAGCAAGAAACGAAATGTAAGACTCAAGGGCTGCTGTCTAGACAGACAAAGGCACACGGGCACTGGTGTGAGAAGTCACCGGCCCTGTGGGAGGTCCAGTGCAGATGGGATGGAGGGAAAGGGTTCCTGTTTCTTCCCACCTCTTCCTCCTCAGAGAACTTTCCAGACACCCTCAACTGTGCCGAAGTGGAAATCTATTCCCAGAACAAGTGTGAGAAGGCCTACCCAGGGAAGGTAACCGAGGGCATGGTC